ACCAGAACCAGAAAGGACGGCCAGTAACAGTAATTGGGGGTATGCCAAACAAAACAAAAAAAGTTTTCACCCACTATTGGAAGACTCGAATGAAGGGAGACAGACACATTTCCCTGGGTAGGGATTTCCAATGCTTTGGTGCTGTGCCCAAGAAAGCCCTTTCTTGCGTTTCCACTGTCTAGTCTCAGATGGCAGGGACAACTGTAACAGGGTCTCCAAAGATGACCGGAGTTATACAGGTAGGTTCATACGAGAGTAGGCGGTCCTTAAGGTATGTTAGTTCCGGGCCATTACAGGGCTTTAAAGATTTTTGCTGGTGAAAATGCACTGCAAATGCTTCCCACCATAGGGAAAATGACTGTAAATGTTCAAATTACGTGGAAAGTTGAGTCTCATGGTGGTCCATGTGATTACCCTTCTTACCAAAACTATTACGGCAAAGAACTCTACACCAGCCTTCCATACTACTTGTCTCACTTTGGCACCCTCACCCTCCCTTTTCCCCTTGGAGTATTCTGTACTTTATTCAGCTTGGGCCTGTATTTATAATGAAACAGTGTTTAGTTAGACTTGGCAGCACTGTAATAAGAATATATCGAATGCTTTAGTGGTAGTGGGGGGGACAATCAGATTTGAAAATATACATATTATAGACAACTAAGACATATGACAGATGTAAGCAGCTCTGGCAAGTGCTTATAGAAAACTCTTAATGAGCTTATGATTGAATCAAATTCATTGTAAGCAGGCTAATGGTTTTTCAATGCTGCTTCCTCTTCCGTGTCTCGCTTTTCACCGCAGACTCTTTTGGTCCATATTAGGTTTCTCCAGGTTTATGGAATTGACATGAATTATGTAAACGAAGATATATCTCAGATAAAAGAGACCACTTCCTTAATAAGAATTGTTATTGGACCTTTAGTTTCTTCTAAGAGAGGAATTGTTTACTATGGGCATAGTGGCAGATACTGAATTTTAAAATGAAGTCCCATTTTTATGAATGTATGGCTCCCTGTCCTTTTTTTTTTTATCTTTACTTGATTAGTTTTCTAAAGATGCCTAGCAATAAGTCCTTAATGGCTCCTGTGCAAGCAGCTCATGAAGTATATCTGGGATACTTATTAATTTATGTAGATAGAGATATCCCACTTTTTCTCCCAAAGCAGATTACAACAGAGCTCTCACAACAACAGCCCTGTGAGGTAGGCTAGGCTGAGAGTGACTGACTCAGGGTTAACCCTGAGAGCTTCCATGGTAGAGTGAAGATTCGAGCCTGGATCTCCGAGGCCCTAGTCCAGTACTCTGACCCATTATACCACCCTGGCAGGATACAAATTGAGATGTCCTTGACCATTGTTGTACAATATACCACTGCATGGCCTGCAACATGGAATCTGTTTTGGTGATTTGAGTTTGCTTTTTTTTAAAAAAGGCAGGTTAGTCCTCATTCTTTGGGGGGGGGGTAAGATGAAGAGGGTGAAAGCAACTTCTGCTAAATGGTTAGATTGCAGAAGTAGTGTTACTTCCCATAGTCACAAAATGAGGATTATTCATACACCTTTTTAAATTTTTTAATTTTTGCATTTTTGCATTTTTGTGTGTGTGTCCATGCCTGGAAGTCATGGTGACCTCTGACAACTCCTACTAGGGCACGGAGGACACATAGAGGCTTGATACCCCGCCTCTGCCTCCCGGCCCTGGTATTAGCTTCTATTTATTTATTTATTTTTTCGCATTTATACCCCGCCCTCCCCAATAGGCTCAGGGCAGCTTACAGAGGCAATAAATACTAGAGATTTATTATAAATACAGAGCCTCTGAGATCTGATGAGATTTGGTTTGCCTCTCCAGGTCAGGATTGTTCAAACTTCTTGTTGTGGTTCTGCCATTACCAGGGGTGATCCAGCCACAAATGGACCACAGTGACTCAACCAAGGTTGCACCCCACCAATGTTCACTGTGCAAAATTGATTCTAGTCCAATTACAGTCCACACATTTGCTTCTTCTTTCTTTGTTACTTTATTTTACGTCATGCAGTGCTGCTGCTTCCAACAATTGCCATGCAACTACAGATTTCCCGGGTAAACAATCTGTTTCCCACAATGCTTCATCAGGTCACTTTATACTTGGAGCCCATGCTCTACGTCTCTTAATCAGAATTAATCTTGTATTTTCTCAGATGCCTTCTTCCAGACCTCAGTTAAGAGGGAGGTGTACACTGATAGACTTGGAACACAATGAAAGAGAGCTTTCTCCTCACTCCCCTGAGTTTTATCACCTCTCTTTTCCCCACCCAATGTCCAGATTTGTCCAGTCAGAGAAGCTTTTCCTGAAGATTCCAGGCCTTTCCTTCCTGGAGTCTCTCTAGTATTTAATTCCTTCAAATCTCTGTTCCCTGCTTGCGGGGGGAGGGGAGCTTGACCATCCCATTGTCTAGACCTATTAGCATTTGTATGAAGGTGGGCTGAGGCAAGTCTGGAAAGCAATTGAACTGACTTCCTCCCTTCCTGCCTGTTCTCTGCTGGGGGGGGGGACTTTTAAAACTCAGAGTGAAGGTTTTGCTCATTTCAAACCTTCAAAGGGAGGGAAAATGCATTTCTTCACAGAAAGATTACAGGATCAATTTTAATGTCTAGTAGACGATGGTCTAGTGCAGGGGTAGCCAAACTTGCTTAACGTAAGAGCCACATAGAATAAACATCGTATGTTTGAGAGCCGCAAGACATGAACACACACGTTTTAATTGAAAAAATATGCAGATTTGCATATTAAATTAGATAGATAAATGCCTTCTCTGAGCCAAGCCAGTCTGCCAGAGAGGTGGAGAGAAAACAGTTTTAACTTTAAATGCGTCCTCCACGCCCCCCTTGCCAGCCGGCTTGGCTTGGAGAAGGGATTTAAAGAGACAAATCCCTTCTCCAAGCTGGCGGGGGGGGGGGGCTTTGAGAACGCATTTAAATTTGCTTTCTTTCTCTGCCCCCCCCCCCCCCCAGCCTACCCAGGGAGGGGAACAGAAATACTGGCTGGGGAAGAGAAGACTGATGGGGGAGCATGCCACTTCCCCAGCCGCCCTGCTGGGAGCCACACAATATGTGTGAAAGAGCTGCATGTGGGTCCCGAGCCACAGTTTGGCCACCCCTGGTCTAGTGTTTCAAGCTTGCTGCTGTTGTGGAGGAGGTATCAATATTATGATAATTCCAGTCTGTGGGGTGGGAGAGAGGTTGCAATGCCAAATGGTGCATGTTGGGGACAGGATCTGAAAGTTTCCATAGAAATGTACAAGAGCTTCTATGTGTGCTCCTCAGATGTCACAGTTTTATTACTACCATAGTTTCTTGTGTGGTGTTGGAGGCTACTTCTCAAATTCCTACTAGTTTATGGATTCTAGGCCAATACCGGGGCGTTCTTTTAGAATGGAGTGAAGAACCCGGCCCTTACTCGGATAGTCCAGACTAGTTTGCTTTTGTCAAATCTCGAAAGCTATGCAGGGTTCGCCCTGGGTAATATTTCAGCGGGAGACCACCAAGAAAATCCAGGGTCATCATGACACAGAGGCAGGCAATGACAAACCACGTCTGAACGTCTCTTGCCTTGAAAACCCTGTGAGGTCACCATAAGTTGGCTGTGACCACCATGCTCAGCCTCGGATACCTGTGTGCATAGAGCTCACTAAGCTATGGCTTTTTGCAATTACCTGTTGATCTGCTCTATTTTAGGCTGACAGTATCCTTTTTCAAGAGCAGATGTTGGAAGATGCTTGCTATATTCTCCATGAATCATGTTGTTGTTGTTGTTGTTCAGTCGCACAGTCGAGTTCGACTCTTCGCGACCCCATGGACCAGATCACGCCAGGCCTCCTGTCTTTCGCCGTCCTCTGAAGTTTGCTCAATTTCATGTTCTTTGCATCTATGACACTGTCTAACACTCTCATCCTTTGCCGTCCCCGTCTTCTTTGACCTTCAATCTTTCTCAGCTTCAGGGTCTTCTCCAGTGAGTGCTCCCTTCTCATTTGGTGGCCAAAGTATATGAGCTTTCAGTTTCATTATCTGGCCTTCCAGGGAACAGTCAGGGTTGATTTCTTTTAGGATTGACTGATTTGATCTCCTTGCAGTCCAAGGGACTCTCAAGAGTCTTCTCCAGCACCATAATTAAAAAGAATCTATTCTTCGGCGCTCGGCCTTCCTTATAGTCCAACTCTCGCAGCCATACATGACTACTGGGAATACCATTGCTTTGACCATGCGGACTTTTGTTGGCAAGATGATGTCTCTACTTTTTATCATGCTGTTTAGGTTCACCATCGCTTTCCTCCCAAGGAGCAGGCGTCTTTTAATTTCATGGCTGCTGTCACAGTCTGCTGGAACTGGGATCCCAGGAACGTGAAGTCTGTCACTACTTCCATGATTTCCCCTTCTATTTGCCAAGGAGTGATGGGGCCGTATGCCATGATCTTAGTTTTTTTGATGTTGAGCTTCAAGCCCACTTTTGCGCTCTCCTCTTTTACCCCGAGCAAGAGGCTCTTAAGGCCCTCTTCACTTTCTGCCATTAGAGTGGTATCGTCTGCATATCTGAGGTTGTTGATCTTTTTTCCACCAATCTTAATGCCAACTGTGGTTTTGATGCAGAGCTCTTTTCATTAAGCACCAAGCCATGGTTTGGTGTTATATTTGAACCAGCCTGTTGGTTCTGGTTGCAGGAAGAATATTTGAAAACAATGTCATAAGTTTACTTGTGATAGTTTGCTTCTGGCACTGTTTGTCCGTGCATTTTGAGGTTGCCGTCCATTCCCACTGTCTGTTATAGTCATTATATTCCTTCTGGGTATAGTTACTTAAAAATAGATGTTTGCCAGATTGTGCTTTAGTACTCCACAAATTCCTCCTCCTCCTCCTCCTCCTCCAATTGTGTTTTTAAAAATACATGTTTCTGTGTCTTGCTCATACTAGTATTTAACACTTTTAAAGAACTATTTAATACTGTTGGGGTTTTTTTTTGGTAGGATGGCCGGTTGCGAACAAATGACCAGCTTCTTGCAGTTAATGGAGAATCTTTGCTTGGGAAATCAAACCATGAGGCCATGGAGACCTTGAGACGTTCCATGTCTATGGAAGGAAACATTCGTGGGATGATCCAGCTAGTGGTCCTCCGGAGACTGGATAGGCAAGCGGAAGCGGTATGAGAAATGGTTATTTCAGGCATTTTGCATCATTCTATAAGTATTAAGGAACTTCTGTTGAAGTCGATGGAATCAGTTTTCCTGTTCTTATATCTGGATTTTGGGCTGTTATGCGTTAAAAAGTAAAATATATAATTAAATTCTTTTGGAAGACCTATAAGATGAAATAATTATGTAAAAGGAATATTTATAGTCAGCATGTACTGAAAATGTGCAGGGTTTTTTTGCAGTGACTAATCCTGGTAGCGACTCTGGTATAACACAAGAAAGAAATCTTGCACTTTGATTTTTGCCTTAATCTTCATGCTGAAAACAAACAGGACAAAATGTTGCATCTAGCAAATTATTCACTGTAATGTAACCACAAGGGGTTATCAGGCTATTCATGCAGAAAAACTAACACATTGTACACAATCCCTAAATTAAAGAGTAAGAGAGAGAGAGAGAGAAATCCACCATTTTTTGTTACATAATAGCCTGCAATTCTTACCCACAAACAAGTATCCTGTTTTTAAATTATTGGCCTGTTGAAGCAAGAACAAGATTTCACGTGTTTCTCTACAAAGGTTCCCCAATCCTACTTCATACTGCTTCAGTAGTCTTATGCTGAAAACCAAAACCACATTTCCTCCTCTCCCTCCCAAATATATCTTTGAGCATCACCCTGATGTATGAAACGCACACACACTTCTTGCACGACCCCCATGAAGAATACATAATCAGCCCTTTACTGAATCAAACCCATTTTAAACAGAAATTAATTTTATAGGATATGCTTGCGGTTCAATTGTAATTCCATTTGAGGCTGAAGACTCTAGCAAAGTGGGCCATGACCCATTCTTTTTCTTGCCCGAACTACTTCCTTCCCTGCTGCATCCTGGCTTGGTTTAGCAGGATATGTTTAAATACCCATTATTTTTTATTGGCTGGGACACTAATGGAACCTTTTCATGACAGCTCTGTTTCACTAGCTGAATACTCTAATTAGGCACTGTACTGATCAGTTGTTGGACTATTGATTCTGCTGTTTATCAAAGAGCCAGAAAAGCAGATTTTTTTTCTTGTTGCTGTTAATCTAAAGCTACCTCTCTTGCTACCTAGCATACACTAGTTTAAAGCTACCTCTCCATACACTTAGCTGATGCCACATGATTCCTGCAGGATCCCAGAAAAGCATTGCAAATATTGGCATAGGGGTGACCAAGTGATCCGTAATGGAATGAAATCTGCGTGGGTTTAAAAATGTGCACTGTCTTGTTAGGAAAACGAAGTGTACATAGTTGCTATGTCTGTTGTACAAATCAGAGGTCAAAACGGTCTTTTGCCTAGTGATGGATCTATTTTCGGTGCTAAACACTGAACTGAAAAGCAACCACGTTCTCATTTTGTGGCTGAGCAAAATGAGAGGATTACAAACTGCTCCAGCATTTTGGTTTGCTTTTTGGAGGTGACTCACAAATAAAAAGAATGCACAAATAACATAAAAACGATCACATAAACTATCTGTGTTAAACACAAGCCAGGGGAATAAAAACAGCATCAAACAAATGTTGAGCAGCCTAAAAAATATCCGTAGCCTTCATGCCAGACGAAAATCACAAAACAACTGAGAAAAGTAAAGCGTAGTTTAAAAGCCCAGGTAACAAAAAACATGAATACACACTGCATGGACTTCAAGGGGAGAAGGCATTCTGAAGAAAGGTGTCACCCCTGAAAAAGCCCTGTCTCTAGTTTCTGCCTAGCTCTGCTTTGCAAGTGGGGGCACAGAGACCAGGGCTTTGGAGACAGGTCTTAACTAGCAGGCAGTACAGGAGGAGATGAGGCAGTCCTGCAGGTATCCTGTCCCTAAGCTATTTAGGGCCTTAAATATAAGAACCAACACTTTGAAATGCACACAGAAACAGACAGGCAATCAGTGCTTGTAACACAGGGGTGATACAATCCCTGTACCCAGCCTCTGACATTATCTTGTTACCTTCTTTTGGCCCCACTGAAATTTCCAGATGGCTGTCAAGGGCAACCCCATGTATAGTAGGTTACAGTAATCTAACCAGCATGTGATCCACGACCAGATCATATTTTTTGAGGAGTAGCCGTAGCTGATATATTAACTGACAGTTATGGAAGAAGCTACATGCCACGTAAGAGGCCTGGAACTTCAACCAGAAGCACCTCCAAGCTATAAGCCAGTTCCCTCAGGAGAGTGCTACACCCTCCAGGACTTTTGTCCCTGAGCAGCTTTATCATTGACCAAGAACATACAATGTAAGCTATTGAGTGCCCATTGGAGAGGAAGGTGGGGCATCAGAAAGTAAATAAACCTGGGGTGTCAAACATGTGGCCCGGGGGCCAAATCAGGCCCCCGGAGGGCTTCCATCAGGCCCACAGTGGAACTGGCTGTCTTCTGCTTCCAGTTCTGCTGCTGTTGCATCATAGCTTGCTTCACCACACTCTCTTAATCACTCAACAATTTCATGTTTTAACCTGGGTACTAGACTCAGAACTGTGAGCGTGAGATTTCTGTGGTGAATGTCAATAAATCAAAAGTAGGTTTGCAGCTTACAAATACACACTTGAACAGCATACTCAAGACTGCATCAGCACAGACATTTTGATGCAACAATTCAGAACAAGAGGTGTCAGTTATCAGATACTGTTAAATAAACAAAATATTGCAAGAGTGCTAATGTTTTAAGCATGTTTTTATTTTAAGTAAAAAAAATGTGTTTGTGTCCTTTATAAAGTTTATATCTCCGCTACCTGGCTTTACATTTTATTACACACATGGCCTGGCCCAACAAGGTCTCATTTATGTCAGATCCGGCCCTCATAACAAATGAGTTTGACACCCCTGAAATAAACAGTCTCAGTCTTGTCTGGACCAAGCTTCAATTTATTTGCAGTCATCCATCCCATTACCTGTTCCAGGTACTTGTTGAGGACCTCCACAGTGGGTCTGACAAGGAAAGGTAGAGCTGGGTATCAGCTGCATATTGGTGGGACCTCCATTCAGCACCTCTAATGCGCTTCCCTAGCAGCTTCATGTAGATGGTGAGGGCCAGAGCAGGTGTCAGCTTCATGTAGATGGTGAGGGCCAGAGACGCCATCTTTGAAAGCAGGTGGAGCTATGTTCTCCTGCAGAGAGGTGGCTTTTTATCTCCTAGATCCAGCCCAGTTCAGCATGATACTATCTGCCACAAATAGTACATGGTAGAAATGACATTGCACGTGTACTCGCATGGGCATGGATGCTCTCAAATGTGTGTGAACACACCTACATGTATACACACAGACCATTAAATCATCAAATGCTATAGTGGTAACTCTCAAAAATTCATAGCGCATGGGTGGGCCATGAGATTGCAGAAGAGAGGCCAGGTTGGCATGGCTTTGAGAATTAATTTTGAATGAATGCTTTTAATAGGTATGGAAAGTGAGAATTTTTGTCTCCACCCCTCCCACTTCCCTCCCAGTACAAGTAAAACTATTCCTTTTAAAAATAGCTCTTCTTAGTAAACTGTTTGTTTTTTCAAAGCAACTGTCAGAACAAATGTGGAATTGTTATTATTTGGAGAAGAGAAACTTTGAAAAGCCAAATAGATTGAAACATGGGTTAAGGATTTGCCATTTACTTCCCAAGCTGCTCTGGTGTGCATTCATTACCGAGCATATGTAGCAGCCATTGAGAGAAGGGAACCAGCTGGCTGTCAAAAAATTACCATTGGCACCGTTTCTCTTGTCTTTACAAGGCTACAAGCTGCCTTCGCAGATGGAGCACTAATGGGAAGCCAGTTGTGGTCAGAGGAAACTCTAGCCCACATTCTGCCCTTGCTTGTGTAATCTGGGGATGTGCCGAATTCTCCACTACATTTTATATTCATGAGGTCCCAAATGCCAGTTTTGGTAGGATGGGGATACATTTCCCCAGACCATACTGAGGTTGTGTGAACATTGACTTGCCCCAATGGTTTGGTGCTCTTGTGTCTTTCTGGCTTCTGCTGCTTCAGCACTGTTTGTTCACTAGATGGTCCTACCCTCCCCCAGGGGAATCATCACGGGTGATCCCAGCCAGTGAGAAATCACTCAGCAAATGGGGTGATGTCACAGTGTTGTGTTCAGCAGCCAGCTTTAGCTACATAATGATGTCACGGAAGGCCAGAAAGTTCAAATGAGAGGGAGAACGAGAATGCAATCAACGTTTTCTGTCAAGAGACCTAAAATATTGTTAACAACACATGGAACAGATTTATTTTTATTTTTTTAAATACTAGTGAAAACATTTGCAAGGATCTGTACATAGGTATGGCTCAGTCCTTGGGCAGTCTTGGCATCAACTTACCTTCTATGAGCACAGCTTGAAATAGTTTAGAGAAGACTGTTGCAGTAGTCAACAGCAGGCTATTGCAGCAGCCATAATAGGCCAGACTAGCCTGTTCTTGTCAGAGCTCAAAAGCTAAGCAGGGTCAGTACTTGGATCAGAGATCACCATAAGAACATAAGGGAAGCCACTGTTAGATCAGGCCAATGGCCCATCCAGTCCAACACTCTGTCACATAGTGGCCAAAAATACCAGGTGCCATCAGGAGGTCCAGCTGTGGGGCCAGGACACTAGAAGCCCTCCCACTGTTGACCCCCCCCAGCACCAAGAATACAGAGCATCACTTGCCCCACAGTTCCAATCTATACCTTGTGACTAATAGCCACTGATGGATCTCTGCTCCATATGCTTATCTAATCCCCTCTTGAAGCCGCCAGGGAAGGCTGGGACTGCTGTGCAGAGGAAGGCAATGTCAAACTACCTCTGCTCATCTCTTACTCTGAAAACCCCAAGAGATGGAACGTCATGGGGTTTGCCGTGGGTTAGTTGCGACTCAGCATCACACTTTTATCGCAGGAGTCAAGAGTATTTCCTAGCGGATCCCAGAAATTCAGACCTGCTGGAGGATTTGTTTGTTCTTTTTTCCCCACATCGTTCTCCTGCTCTTCCTCCAAGGAACTCAGGGCCACTTACATGGTTTTGCTGTCACAATCTCATTTCCACAACCACCTTGTGAAGTAGGTTATGCTGAGAGATGGCAAATAGCCCAGGATCACCCAGTTGGGATTCAAACCTGGGCCTTCCAGATCCCATTCCTGCAATCTGAACACTACATCACACTGGCTTTCTGTCATTTGTGTGAAAGTAACAACTGATGAGCAGACCAGTAGACCAGACTAGCCCCATCTCGTCAGAACTTGGGAGCTAAGCAAGGTCAGCCATGGTTAGTACTTGAACGGAAGACCACCCAGGAAGATGGGGGGGGGGGCTGTTGTGCAAGGCAGTGCAACCATCTCTGCTCTTCTCTTTCCTTGAAAACCCTGTGGTCCAGTTTGGTGTAGTGGTTAAATGCGCGGACTCTAATCTGGGAGAACCAAGTTTGATTCCCCATGCCTTCACTTACAGCTGCTGGATGACCTTGGGCAAGCCATAGTTCTGTCAGAGCTGTTCTTGAAAAAGAGCAGTTTCTGTCAGAGCTCTCTCAGCCCCACCTACCTCACAGGGTGTCTGTTGTGGGGAGGGGAAGGGAAAGGAGATTGTAAGCCACTCTGAGACTCCAAGTGAATATAAATCCAATCTCCTCTTCTTCTTGAGTTGCCTTGAGTCGGTTACAACTTGGCAGCACACAGTTATTATTAGTGATGACTGATGACCTTTTAAAGTACAATTGACTGTTTCATGTTATTTCAGCACAACAGACTCCCTATATGTACTGCACAAACAATGTTACATAGGGTTGGCTGATTTGGAGGGGGTCACCACTGTTAACCATATTTGATCTCGCCGTGTGTGATTCTGTTTCCTCCTAGGAGCCTACAGAGCCTGTGGTGTTATTTTCAAAACCGGAACCTGAAGGGAGTGTTAATTTTACAACCTTTCCCAGACGTAGCGATGCTGCTGTACAGTGTTCTGTATCGTGCTGGCCGCCAGAGAGGTCGACTGGTAAGTGCTGCGCATCCTACTTTGACTGGCTTTTAAAAACAACAACAAACAACTAACTTTTTCAAGTCGCTTTGTTTTAAGAAATACACTATCAGCTTCTAAGGCAATTAATTAGAGTAAGTGCAGACTTGTAAGGCATGAAGATTTCATGGCAGGTGGAAGAGCTGACTCAGAACTTGTGAATGAGATTCCTGGCACCAGTTCCCGCTTAAGTGACAGTTTCGGGCTTGCTATCCTGCTGCGTGCGGTTGGATATAAAACAATTTATGGGTGCAAGGTATGGATGAAGTGTTTGTTCTCAATAGGTCTTTGATTCTTCTGTTTCAGAAGTTACCAGACTTCTAATAAGGTGAGCGTGCAGACTGTAATGTGAACAGTTATGTTCTCACAAAGTCCCTTCCGATGGGAGTGAGGAGTTTGGTGTGCACCATCTTGATGCAACAGTTCAAACATTCACAGGAAAACGACAATAATGTATTGGCATTTCCATGTTGTTTTAATCCAGAATTCCTTTTTTTCAACAGGTCAGGACATCAAGTCACTGAAGTGCTTACGAACTTCCTTGAGTTTCAATGTTCGTTTCGAGGCAGTCTTTATCAAAATTCCTATTTTAGAATAAACACAGTGCATATAATATAATGTAGGAAACAGGAACCCCGAAAGGACCAATCTTGTACTGTTACAATAAAAATCATTATACTTATACATACTGTTTAGTTGTAATTCTTTCACAAAGTAATCCAATATTTACGAAGATGACACATTCTACAAGTTAGAAAAGGTTACAGTTAGTATAACATTCATATTGCTAAGGGGTCAAATAGTTTAAACATACATTCAAAGTCTTTCAGGGTTCCTGTTTCCTACATTATATTATATGCACTGTGTTTATTTTAAAATAGGAATTTTGATAAAGACTGCCTCGAAACGAACATTGAAACTCGAGGAAGTTCGTAAGCACTTCAGTGACTGGATGTCCTGTTGAAAAAAAGGAATTCTGGATTAAAACAACATGGAAATGCCAATACATTATTGTCCTCAATCTGTGAATGTTTGAACTGTTGCAGCAATTTTTTGTAAATTGATGTAGTTTGATTGCTGTGCCCTTTAGTTATATTGTGCACCATCTTGAGCCACAGAGTGGTGTGGAATGCTGAAAACGTTAACTGTCTTTTAAAGCAAAATATAGCAGCTTTGGAGGATTGCAAGTAACCTCAACATAAATTTAGAGGTCCAGAGTTTGAAAGAACTTTGGTGAACCCAAAGGAAGGTTAGATTTATTCTTCATTAACAGACACCTTTGCCACCCCATGCTGCATGGCAAACTGTGAGTTGGATCCTTCTAGCATTGGTTGCTTTGCCTTGCCTGATTTCCCTTCTTATTAAAGACCCCAGTCACGCGTGGCTTCAATTCACACCAGTCCCACGATCCTCAGCAGTGGACACCCTCCTCTCTTTTTCACCAGTATTAAAACTGGTTGGATGCAACCCTGTTACTGAAACATAGGGCTAAACTTAAATGTTATTTAAATCCTTACATAGCTCAGGTATTTGGCTTCATATTATTGATAATTATTTTGTTTTATTTTTGTAAGAAGGTGAGATTAGTCTTTGGGACCAAAAGTGGGTTGTGACTTGTGATAGTCTTGTGGATAGGCCGAAACTCCTAAGTGAGGCTCCACCTCATCCCAGCTGCGGGAGAAGAGAGAAGAGAGGCTAGAACTGCCTATCCCCCCCTTCTTTGTGCACCCCCACTCATTCCCAGGTGGATGGTTCATTGTCAGCTACCAGTGGTGGGGGAGACTATGGGTGGTGCCTGGGCTCACACTCCCAGTGGCCTGTGGCCTTGTGGTAGTGGTTCCAAAAAGGTAAATTTAGATGCAAACAGATGTTGCCACTACCTGGTTATTTTCCTGTTATCACTTTCACATTTAGCTTGTATTTAAACGGAAAACAATCAATTCTTCTCATTGTGTAGGAATTTAAACAGTAGGAATGGTTGGTTATACTCAGGTTAATCTGAGGGGGGGGATCATACTGTTAATTTAATTTCTGTTTTACTTGTTTTCTGGATTCAAAACAATAAAAATGTAAGAACCTCTAAGGTAAGTAACCCATGAGGCTGATTGGTGTTTAACACCCAACAGTGAAGTCAAAAAGAGTGTTAGGAGGAAAAAGACAAAACACTTGTCAAAGGCAAGCTAAAATTTGGAGGAAAATAGCAATTCTTCTCCCTGTATATGGGAAGGGGGGAAATCAGGTCTACCTGAATTTATGTAATTGAAAAAACTATGGAAAACATGCAGCCTTAATTCTAAGAACTGCTGTGCCAGCAAATACATTCTTATAATGGTGTACTATGTGCTGCGTGCTCCCAAATCATGATGAATATACCCTTGCTTTTTGGTCCTGCTGTGTGTCTTAGGATCATGGTGGGCAAAGAGCATGATGGCTCTCCCTCTGGTTATTCTTCTTGCTTGTCATTTGCCATCAGTTCTTTGCAGTGTCTGATAACGCTTGCACAAGGTCAGGGGCCTCCACTAGAAGTTTTACAGTTGTAACAGACTCATGTAGAGGGGTGTGGGTGGAACCAGTGGAATGAAATGGACCATGAGAACGAAAGAAGAGTTAAGATGGAGCAGCTGAAGATATTATCCTGGCTGGGCACATAGATAGTCCTCAGCAGCCTTGTTCTGTGTGTCTTTGCTCTGTTAACCTATGAAATGCTGGAATGCCCTTAACCTCTGCCTGGCTAGATCTACTACTACTATACTACAAATTTACTTACTTTTTGGCACCAGGCTGACATTTTTTTGCTAACTGGTTGTTGTTGTTTGTTTGTTCAGCAATTGCTGATTCCTCACACTTCTGATATTGGTTGCATTGTATTGATTGATTTTGGCTTGGCCTTCTACTGCAGCAAACTGTTTTTGTCATTTGTTTTCAGTGTCATTTTTAAAGCTATTTTAAGAACAATGGTTTTTAAGAACTGTTATCTTCTGACTGCCTTGTGATGTTTGTTATTTTCACGGTTTTTATGACTTTGAAAACTACCTTGAGTACTTTGTGGAGAGAGCGGTATAAAATGTGTTTTAATAAGTAAGCAAGAGCAGTGTTGGTTAAAAGAGAGAACTGGACATGAAAAGGACGGGGGAATGTTGATCCATGAAGAGAATTAAAAAGGGAAATGATCAAATTAAATTGTCTTATGGTTAAGATGAGATATGGTATAAAATAGAAGACAGACTTAAGAAAAGGAAATGTTATAATATATATTACTGAGTATTGGATTACACTGAGTATTTATTGGGTGCAGTGAGAGATTGTGTGAGAAGACAGAAGCACAAATATCTTGTGGTGACTGTAGCCTTACATGTGTTAGTAACTGTGTAATGAAACTGAAGTGGAGTGAGTGGAGAGAGGCAAACTTGGATCTCAGAAGATACTGACATACTACACATGTACTGACAAACCATGATTTAGAGAAAAAGAAATAAAAACCATAGTTTCTCATTTTGGGAACAACCTTGGGGATTCTTTCATGCTTTGTCTGGAGAAGAATGAAGTGTGTTTTTTCTGTTTGTTTGTTTGTGTGTGTGTGTGTAAAATGCCATCAAGTTGCAGCTGACATGGCAAACCCACAGGGTTTTTAAGGCAAGTAATTAAGCAGAGGTGGTTTGCCATTGTCGTCTTCTGCAGAATCATCCTTAGTGGTCTTCCCATCCAAGCACCAACCCAGCTTAGCTTCCAGGATCTGACAAGATTTGGGCTATACTATAACATTCCACATCCCCGAAAAGCAAAGTTACCACTACATTTTATCCTGTCCTTATTCCAGGGAGCTCCAGGTGGAATATGTGGTTCTCCCTTCGCCCACAGTATCCTCACAACAAAGCTGTGGAAGTTAGGCTGAGATAGTGACTGCCCCAAGGTCCCTCATGAACCTTCTTGGCTGATCAGGGACACCACTGTATGATGAACCATGGTCTTTCCGTGAAACAGAAGCATATAATTACCTACATGAGCACACATATGCAAACCCAAGGACCACTCAAGCTTGTCCTATAATGACAGAAGTTGGAGCCTATGGATGCATCAACGAAAGGAGCCTCCACTGTAGGTTCTTGCCTTAAAAACAAGTCTAGCTCACCACCTAGTGGTGCATAACGCTAAAAGAGCTAGAACTTCTGGCTGCCAGACAACCTTAGGCTCTCCTGGCTATTCTACATACAATGCTATACGATAACAACAACAACAACAACAATATATATATTTTTATTCCCCTTCCCCCCAGACCTTTTGTATCTTGAAAACATTGTTCTGAGGGTCCGGGGACTCTCATGAACAAAGTGCAGTGGGGGCACTGCAGTGAGGAAGGGGAACTGAGGGAATATTTCTTTCTTCTTGCACAGAAGTGGCAAACTCTGCTTCATATTTATGCTCACACAAGAATAAGAGGATTTTGTTCAATTCTCCCTCAGTGCAACCTAGCCCCCACGTCATTTGGCGCTACCTGCAGTAGATGATGTTGGAATTCAACCAGTTGAGGAGTGAAAATCCAGGAGGAAGAGAAATTGTGGGGAAGGCCCTATTTTGTGTGCACTTCTTCCACTTGTGCAGCTGTCGGATTCAACCCATGGAGTTCTTGTTATGCGAAGCAAGGCTTAGACGTGACAGAGTGAAGGATGGTGGAGGAAAAGGCGGTCAAGATGCAGCTGACTTGAGACTTCCATAGAGTTCTCAAGGGGGAAAAAATCAACAGAAGTGGTTTGCCATTGCCTAGGACTGTGTAGCAACCTTGGACTTCCTTGGTGATCTCCCATCTGTGTATTAACCCAGGCTGACCCTGCTTAGCTTCTGTGAACAGGTGGGATTGGACTGTCCTGGGCTGTCCAAGTCAGGGCAGAGTGAAGGATACACCACGGGATTTTCCACAGCAAACAGGAATATTGATTGATGTCATCACTCCGACTGTTCTTTCCCCGAAACTCAGCAGAAAA